ATTTAGTAGTTAAGGGAGCAATTACTTTTTCACATAGGGCCAGGCAGGACTGAACAGCATTTTTCCTTTAATAAATGAAATCACCATTTAAAAACAGCATTTTTTTTTGTTGATAACTTGGGTTATCTTGGACTTATATTAAAAGTAATTTGATGATCCGAAACATTCAAGTGTGACAAATACGCAAAAAGAAAAGAAAATTGGGAGGGGGCAAATAATTTTTCACAGCCCTCTATAAGGGTGAGATGGCTTCTATTGTTTCATTTTAAGAGGCTTTGTAATGCTCTGTGATGACCACATGATACACACAGTCATTCTGACAGGTTGTAATACACTACAGGAAGTGTAGGGGGCGGTATTGGTGTTTCGTTTTTGCACCCAAAAATTGCTTGTTGCACCTTTAAATAATCGTGCTGAAAAAAAGGAGGAACTAAAGCCGGCAGAATAGATAGATTAATCAATTAATTGAACAACACTTGGTAGATTACAGAACTAATCAGTAGCTGCAGCTGTAGTGTCTGTGCATTGTGTGTGTTTTGTCTGTGCGTTGTCTATGCCGGTTGTACTGCTGTTTCATACACTGATAAAACAAGTCCTTTTCCAGCATGCTTATTTTCCTCTCTGTGTGAGATTGCAGTGTTTTCTCAGTTCTGTTGGGTTTGCGTCTTTAGAGACCTGAGGCCTGTTTCCGTATTCAAAAACACTTTAGTGGAAATTAGGGCTGTGTTTTGTTTCGTTTTCCGCAGCGGGTCCTGCTGTACTCCTAACAGCTGATAACAGAGGTTAAAATCTCTCTGTCTCTCTGTCTCTCTCTCTCTCTCTCTCTCTCTCTCTCTCCCTCCCTCCCTCCCTTTGTTTCTTTTTCTCTCTATTTCAAGTTTAGCAGTACTTTATTTGCATGAATATTACAAGTTACATGCTTGTCAAACCAATTAAAAATAAATGGCATGATATCACTTTTCTTCTCCAGTACCGATATTGAAACCTTGATTATCCATATCGACACCATAATTTTTCCTTTGAAATCTACTAATCTTTAAAATACGCTATTTTTAATAGAAGCACTTTGCTTATGGTGGCCTTCTAAAAGTAGGCTATCATAGTGAAACTACTCTAACATTATAATACCCCATAGGATGAAATACACAGCTAACAACATTACATCATTGGATCGAATTCATTCCTTTTCTCCTCTGATATCCCATTTCCTGCTGATATTGATACCTGGCATTGGACTGGTTCCATCGCTGACACAAACATGAGAAACATAGAACAAGTTAGAGTGAAATTAATACGAATGAACAATTAAAGCTGTCTCATTACATTAAAACAACTGTCTCATTACAAACTGCACTGGCAAATTTCATACCAGAAATAAAATATTTAGTTATAATAATCTTATATTTGTGCCCAGTTCGTCTCTCTGTTGTCCACTGTGCCAGCGCTTCTGCCATTTTTCTCCTAATTGCATCGGCGCTGACACACAGGATGATGGGATATGTGAGGCAGCAAATGATACATCTACACCGCCTTAAAAATATGGCTGAATGAAACTTCAGCATATTCAGTTCGGACATGACTGTCTGCCTTCCTGCCTCAGAATACACGCTGGGCAGCATTTGTTATATTTCAAACACAGCCTTCGGAAGGGACAGAGTGCACCTTTCCATGCGCCGCCCACAGTGGCCTTCTTCTGTAGCTACTGTTGTGAGGCTGGACAAGCTTTACAGCACACTGGTAAAAATCCCATTCAGCCTTGTGAATATAAGTTATATAGAGTTGCTACTTAATGTTGAATTTCCTGTTTAAAATGCTATGCTACCGAGCTGGACAGTGTTGTTGTAACTAATGGAAACTATATGTTTGGAAACAGCAATGACAATTTAGCCACCATGTTAATGTTAGTTTGATTACACAACAAAAAAATTCTGCATCTAATCTGTTTTAACAGTATGACCTTTTACATACATATAAAAATATTTATTTTAACAATAACACTCACATAACATAGGTATTGTGGCATGAAACTGAATTACAGTTTCTCATTAAGTTAAATCAATAGGTATTGGGAATGTAGGTATTGTGATATAAGCTGATTTGTGAGCTGCAGTTTCTCATTAGGTTGAATGAATAACTCACTCTAAATGCAGGTATTGTACAGAGCCCCGCTGGTGACATCCTGTATAAATAAAAATAATGCCTGGCTGCGACTTTTAAAGGTGTGATCTCATTCCCACGCCTTACCAAGTTGTGGCCATACATTATTTTTATTTATACAGGATGTCACCAGCAGGGCTCCGTAGTATTGTGATATAAACTTGTGTGTTACAGTTTCTCATTAGATTGAAAAAGATTTTAACCAGTGTTCTGCAAAGCTTGTCCAACCTTGCAATAATAGCTATGAAAGAACCGTTTTTTAGATGGACCATCTGTCTAAATGTGTGTTTCCTTATAAAAAGTGCGGTTGGTCAGTGTTCTGGCAATGTTAACAATACGTGCAATGTGCTCATGTAATTTATATACTATACTAATATATTGTCATATCACCCACCCTCAGTATGAGGATGATATTCTAAGGCTGTGTTGATAAAATGTTTCTGGTTTGAGTGCTCGTACAGACACAGCATCCAAGAGTGCTTGAGAGATCAATTGCGCCTTTTATACGTACACATACACAAAATGTCCCTAGTCCAAGATGTTTGAGTGCTGCACATCTGTCTTTGTTGGATGAAAGGAGCATGGTGAAGCATATTCTCTGTAAGTGGAGCTATTGAGGTGTAGCAACAGTGAGAGAGAAAGAGAAGAGAGCTGCCATTGACCAAGTGAAGCTGTTTCCAAGAACAGGCCTTGTGTGCATTAGTCTCAGGGGTTGTCTTTGCACTAGGCAAATGTAAGCTGCCGCCAAGAGGCCCCAATGAGCCAAGGGCCGTGTGAAAATACAAATTAGATTTACTGTACTTGTTGATATTCTAAAATCTATTCTGGAATATGTATATACAGTTTAAAAACAGTTCTAGTTTGTGTTTGTAGCGATTATTAGCTAAAATCTAATAATCTAAGATTATTAGTGTTAATGTCAATGCAGCCCCCCTTGGCCATGGTTATAATAGACTATTCCATGTTGTTACGTTATGATACAGCTGTGTAAAGACAGACTGGTATGAACGATAATCTACATTGTGAAGAGGAGGTTCTTCGTTGTGATTTTCTGGGTGTTTAGAGGGAAAATCAAATGAAGTGTAGCAGAGAAATGCAAAAAAGGGAGGAAAGCAAAAATTTTACTGCTTCGCTTCCAGTGCTAACATTGTTCACTCAGGCCCGAGCGCCACACAGGCTCAGTACACTGTATATAATGCTGGCATTAATGCTAGTAAAGATGGCTCCAATGTTGAGATAATTACTCAAAAAAAAAAAAGAAATCTATTCACAGTACACATTACTTTACTAGAAATTTAAAGGGTTTACATTACTCATTACTTCTTGGAAAAAAAAGTAATCTCATTACTCATTACTTCAGGTACTGCTGCCTTACCAATTTATCTCACTCCATTGGCAGATAATGTTGTTTCTTCCAAGCATTATTTCTTACAACAAGCAAAATTACTAATATCTACTAATATATCTACTATATCTACTAATATAGTGTAATAATAGCACCTGAAATTACTGAAGTAAAAATGTGTAGGAAGAAGTTAAATAGTATTCTCAAAATGAGAAATTTTAGGCTTCAAACAATTTCAGGATATGTTTTTTGCACTGTAGACAGCTGCATCACTTGTTTAAAAATGTAAAAATGTGGAGCTCCATTCCCGTCTTTTGTCTAGAGCTCTAGCATCACTAAATCCGCCCTGGTTAGTCTACAGGCTGTTCTGCCTCTACAAGCAATTTCTACCACATTTTTCAACAACAGCTCACCCATGGTTGTGTTTGGTCTGCTGACCTTGTGATTAGAATCTCAGGCGTCCTCCACACCTAGAGATGTCCTGAGACTGGCTGCACAAACATAGTACATCTCTCTCTCTCTCTCTCTCTCTCTCTCTATATATATATATATATATATATATATATACACATAGGTTTCCATTCATTCAGACATTTCACAAATTTTAAGCAAACTTTTAAAAGGTCAGTAAAAGAAAATTAAGCAGTGTTTCCATTAATCATGGTTAAGATGACGTTACATATTTGTGATGTACAGCGCTCACAGTGCTTGGCATATACAGTTAGCTTTTCAAGCTTTAGAAGCTCTCAGTAGTCTCTGTCAGGTGTACATGGCTGTAGCTCAAACAGTTCAGAGATGCCATGCAGAGCTTCAGCAGCCCTTTTAATGAGGGCTTAAGTTGCCTCCCCACTTCACCATCACCCACCAAACCCCTGCGAATGCCAGCAGGGCAAAAGGCTCTGAGAGGACGTGGTGCCAAACACATGACTTTAGTTCCCGTTCATTGTCCATTTTATCAGCTCCGCTTACCATATAGGTGCACTTTGTAGTTCTACAGTTACAGACTGTAGTCCATCTGTTTCTCTGCATACTTTGTTAGCCCCCTTTTACCCTGTTCTTCAATGTTCAGGATCCCCACAGGACCACCACAGAGCAGGTATTATTTGGGTGGTGGACGTGGTGGTGGTGTGTTAGTGTGTGTTGTGCTGGCCTGAGTGGATCAGACACAGCAGTGCTACTGGAGTTTTTAAACACCTCAGTGTCACTGCTGGACTGAGAATAGTTTACCAACCAAAATGAGTGTAGACACAAGGAGGAGTTCCTAATACAGTGCTCAGTGAGTGTACATAACAATATTAAATATTTGATATGTATTAAAATGGGACACAATAGTAATTGGAAATTGTTAAAATAGGACGAAATATACTTGGGGAACACACTCGTTGTTGATAATTATTGATAAATCGATAAGTGGTGCCAGCCCTAGTGTGTGTGCACTCAAATATGCACGTAAAACATTCTCTCTCTCTCTCTCTCTCTCTCTCTCTCTGTCTGTCAGGTGCTGGCGAGTCTGGGAAGAGCACGATAGTGAAGCAGATGAAGTAAGTTGCTTATGTCTGTCTCGAAATCAACTGTGAAATGTGCTGTCAAATGAGCTGTTTTTCTTACATTCTCTCTCTCTCTCTCTCTCTCTCTCTCCTCTCTCTCTCTTTCCTAGAATCATCCATGAGGCAGGTTACTCGGAGGAGGAGTGTAAGCAGTATAAGGCCGTGGTCTACAGCAACACCATCCAGTCTATCATCGCCATCATCCGTGCCATGGGCCGCCTCAAGATCGACTTTGGAGACCCAGCGAGAGCGGTGAGATGGAGGGAGAGCTGGGAGGATGAAAAAAGGAAAAAACCTTCATAAATATATTGACAAGGCCTATAGTATGTCAGGGATGGCCAGCCCTGTTTCTGGAGATCTTTAGGAACGTATAAGTATTAGAGTCGTGAGGAATTAAATAAAATAGTTTGTTAAAATGTCTGATTTACAAAGTATTTCCCCCTCACCCCAAATGTAGTCGATCAACGAAGACACATTTGGCATCTGAAGTTTGCTCCTTTATTTTTGCACTAGAGCTCTGAAACTAATATAGATAACAAGTAATGGAAGCTTATATCCCACCACTTAGAATCATGCTAACTTCATGTGTATATTATTGCACACTTTTCTCATATCAAAATGAGTTGTACAAAAGCACAGACACAATTTAGGCTTCCAGGTGGCAGCTACTACTGGTTTTAGTGTGATGTACTGTTGTCCATATTTATAGATAATAGTGTGTCATACAGTGTCAGAAGCCACATAAGCAAGTCTATTGTAAATGATTTGCCTGTGTGGTTTCTGACAGTGACAATGTAGACTTGCAGTTTATTATTTATTGTTTATTATTATGTTAATTAGCAGGGTAAACACTTCCAGTAGACACAATCCTACACCAAAATGAACATAGACCATTATAGCTGGTCACCAGCAAAACCAGTGTATGTTGTGTTGTGAATGCTGTTATGCAGCTGGTTTAGGCAGTCACTAAGCTGGGTGACCAGCTAAACCAGCCCTAGATTAGCACTAGACCCGCATAAACCAGTTCAAACCAGCTCAGAGACAGCGTGGAATTCATGCTAGTCTATGCTGTTTTTTTAGCATGGCTTCAGGAAAATGTCTGATGATTTAGGCATGCAGCTAGCACAATGCTAACTGGTGTACACAAGCTTCCATTACTTTATTTGCTAAAGTTGTAAAAAATGTATTTGTTAAAATAAAAGTTTTGGCAAAAAATAAGTGAATGAATTTATTCATTCACTTATTTTTTGTATGTTTTTTTCCTTCCAGTGAGATGGTAACACAAACATAACATTCATTCATCTATTATTCGAATTGAATATTATTCTGTTATTCTATTATTCTATCTATCCACCCCCAACCTGTTCCAAGGTAACTGAAGGTATAGTTTGGCAGAAAATTACTTTTTTACTTTTTTTTCTGCTTGTTGCATATTGTACAGGGACGAGTGTGTGGGTAATAATCATGGTATGTGTGTGGATGGTGCTGTGTGTACTGACGCAATGATGATTACGGTGATTGTGTGTGTGTATTGAGGTGTGTTTACTGGGGATGATGATGCTGATTGGGAGCATTACTGGAGAACGATGAGGAAACAGCAGAAGCTTATTGATGCTTATATAGCAACAGTGACTCGCTCGCTAGGGAATTATCCTGCTTCTTTGCCAGAAAATTAATTATTCCTTTACAGATTTTTTTTTATTTGTTGGCTTCATGGCTTTGCACGAGAAAAGATGGTTTGAGTCACTGCAACCCTGCAACCCAGCAATGAGTAACTTGGAAATAAAAACAGATGCATCATGTTTCATAATCGGACTCGTTTTGCAATATCCATTTCCGCTTGGTTGCTTTAGTAATAAAGACTGAGAATGTAGCTTTAGAAGCTTCTGCGAAATTAACATGGTTGAATTAGAAAAACAGTGAAGCGGATAAATAAATGCAAAAAACAAACTGCAAGAATAGATGAACAGATGGCTGGACAGATGAACACGTGAATGAATTTGGACATGAGCGATTCTGTTTGTGTTAATGCTTTATCATTGTTCTTACTTAACTTTATATGGCTGAATCAGAAAATGAATAGGTGAATAAATTAAAGAATGAACAAAATGAAGTGAATGAATGGAAAAATAGAATAATAGACAAAAAATATAAATAACCGTTATAGCTGAATTAGAAAAACAGTCAATGAATGAATGAATGACTGAAGCTGTATAGGTGAACAAACAAACATACTTTGGAAAAGTGAGTGATCCTCTTTGTGCACCTCATTATTGTTCTCAAAATGGTTGAATGGGAAGATAAATCACTGAATGAATAAATGAAGGGACAAAGGATGGTGGATGATCCTGCTTGTATTGCTGTCCATTCAGAATTTCAGTTACATCAATAATTGACTTTGAAAAATAGTCAACAGATGAACGAATGAATGAATCAAAAGAAAGAACTGATGGGGTTGAATGAATAGACAGATAGTTATAGATACAATAGACAGATAGTTGGAAAGGTGAATAAATACATGACTTTGGACATGATGTGTGATCTTGTTTGTGTTACCTCCACAATACTGACTTAATTTTGAACTTATTAGGTTAATTCAACAAATAATGCATGGCCACGACTTAGTAAGGAATGGGAACAAGATAATTAAGTAGTGGCCATGACTTAGTAAGCCATGGGAATGAGATCGTAATGTGTGGCCACAACTTAGTAAGGAGTGGGGATGAGATCCTTATGCGTGGCCATGACTTAGTAAGGCATGATCTCGTTCCCACGCCTTACTAAGTCATGGCCACGACTTAATTATCTTATTATCACGCCTTACTAAATCGTTGCCATGCATTAGGATCTCATTCCCATGCGTTAATGAGGGCGTGGTCACACATTATTTTTATTTAAATGGGATGTCACCAGCAAGGCCTCCGTAGCATTCACAGAATGACTGAATAAATGAATGAACCTAGTTGAAATGAATGAGGGTGCTACATAGATGGATAGATAGACCAATAGATGAATAAATTAATGAATTTGAACATGGTCAGTGTTCTTGTTTGCGTAGCTGCCTCATTATTGTTCTTAGTATGGTTGAATGAGAAATGGTTCTATATAGAACTAATAACTCTAGTAGAACCATTCCCTTTACTAAAAGAACCTTTGAAGAACCATCCCTTTTAAGAGTGTAAGTTACTTAGATGTAAATGAGTGAACCACATGACGATGATTGAGGTGAATTGCTAGAGAGATGCGTTTTGTTTTACTTCATTTTATTGATTTATTTTGTGATAGTTTGATATGTGAATAAATGTGAATGAACTTGGACATGGTGAGTGATGCTGTTGTTGTGTGTGTGTTTTTAGGATGATGCGCGGCAGCTGTTTGTTCTAGCCGGCAGTGCGGAGGAAGGCTTTATGACCGCTGAACTGGCTGGAGTGATAAAGCGCCTGTGGAAGGACGGAGGAGTGCAGGCCTGCTTCAGCCGCTCCAGAGAGTACCAGCTCAATGACTCCGCTGCATAGTGAGTGTGTGTGTGTCTCTGTCTGTCTCTCTGTCTGTCTCTGTCTGTATCTATCATTTCAGCAGGTACCAGTGAATATGGCTTTTGTTTTTTTCAATTGAAGAGCGCTCCATAATGTTCATATAATCCACACAGTCATTCTGACAGATTGTAATACACTACAGTAAGTGTAGGGGGCGATATAGCTTCCAGAAAGAAGGAATTTTTTGCTTGTTTCAAAACCCACACTTGTGGTTCTGCTAAAGTACACACTTGCATGATGTATTTAGCGCGTGTGTAAGCACGTGTCAAACCTACAAGTGAGCAGATATGTATCTTCGGAATGTGTCACCAGTGTGCTAATCTGTGGGATATATACTGGTGCCAATACTGCTGTGATGCAGTACTGGAGAAAGGGTGCGTTAAGTATGTGTTTAGTGTGTTTTTCTTAGCGAAAAACAACAAACAATCGGTGCATAATTTTCATTGTCTATATTCCAATACTATGTGAACAATTCCTCCAGTTACATTTGTGTATTCAGTGTATTTTTATCAATAATTCTGTATCGACTATCCAGTGTTTCTTTAACACCAACACACCTGATCCAGCTTACGAAGGGCTTTATGATCAGTTAGCTGATCATCATTAGCTAAATCAAAAGTGTTGAGTTATGGAATTGTGGAAGCGTTGCAGTGCTGTGGGTTGCCAGGAGCAACACTGATATAGTCAAATAGAACTGATGAAATTTGAAATTTCATGATGCATAGAATCATAATCGAAATGCTGTTAGATCAGAGATTAACACCCCTATTGAAATCGCTGTGATGACCAAAGCAAAAAGAAACCTATAACAGTATAAGTAGCCTATAATAAGTCATTTCATGGAATAGTAGTGTCTAGATTATTTGGCCATAGAAACAATTATTAATCACAGCCACAGTTGCATAGTTATAGTCTCTGGGTGCACGATTTGATTCAGCCAAGATCGGAATCGACAGCTTTTGTTTCCAAACATGTGATCAGCAATTTATTAAGTTAAATAATGTGAGGTTAGTAGGCATACTTGTGCTGTATTTTAATGCTGCTTCTATACCTGCACCATAATTATGCATGACTCATTGTGCTAAATAGTCAGCTAAAGCTAAAAAGCCTTCTACTGTCAGTATACAGTTGTGTGCAAAAGTTTGCATATTTTGTTGATTTTATGAGTGAAAATAAGATAACACATCCTCTACAGACAGCTCACTTTCTGCATATTTAAATGCAGAATTGTAATGTTTATTTACTGAATTTAACATAATGAAAGTAAAACATAAAATGTAACATTTTATATTTAATTTTTTTTCCAGTATGTTAAATTGCACTACAATTTGAAGAAAAAAGTCCCTATAAGTTCACTCTCTTTTTTCACTTAGAAAATCTACGAAACAGGGCCATTCAGACTTATGTATATGACTGTTACACTTTATTTGATTCATGTTTTTAAAAGTAGGCAACTGATTTTTAATTTATGAATTGTAAAAGAACAAACGAGCAAATAATGTTTTTTTTATGTTGCGACTTTGGCTGATAGTGAGCACTCAAAATGTTCTAGTGTGTTCCATGTGTTCATTTACCCCACATGGTGTGAGCTTCAGCTGAGCTCCAGCCAAAAGATCTGCCATTGGCCAATTTGGCTGTAAAGAAAATCTGAATTAACTATAAAAATTCATTATTACACCTCTAGTTATCTCATAGAGCGGTTTTGTCTGCACTGTGTGTTCCTGTACTCAGTCTGGTGTAGTCTGGAATGATTTTGTCAATATTTGCCTTGCAGGAGCTGCTCAGATGCTGTTTTAGTGAAATCTGCAGTGGCCTTGACTCCAGCGACCTGTTACACACTGTTTATTTAACACTTAGAACAAAACACTGATAAAAAATGAATACGTGGTGCTACACTCGCTGGCTGTTTTTTCTTTGTGTGTGTGTGTGTGTGTGTGTGTGTGTGTGTGTGTGTGTGTGTGCGTGGGTGGGTGGATGCATGTGTTAAACACTTTGTGCAAGACCGTTTCCGCCAGCGATGGCATCACCAGGCACGGTGCAGGGAGGGTGTTTGTGTGTGTGTGTGTGTGTGTGTGTGCTGAAATCCCTTCACCTTGGTTGGTCAGTGAATGCACTGTGTTTGATGGCTGGACATGTAAGCTCTGTGTGTGTCGATAGAGAGGTTGTGATGCCTCTTTTGGGTAAAACTGCTAATTATCTGGCCCTCCACCTCAATTACTTAAAATCTGAAAACAAAACTTTTTCTTTTTTCAAGTGTCATGGTCTTTTTCATGTTTATGCTAAATATACATTAACATAGCCAAAAGTATTTGGACCCCCATCTTCATTATTGAGTTCAGGTGCTTCAGCAACACCCATTGCAAATCAGTGCATAAAAGGAAGCAAACAGAGATTCAATCTCCATACACAAACATAGGTAGTAGAATGGGTCATACTAAAGAACTCAGTGACTTTAAACATTGTAAAATGCTACATTTGCCACAATTCAGGTCGTAAAATTTCTGCACTGCTAGATCTGCCCTGGTCAACTGTAAGTGCTATTATTGTGAAATGGAAGCATCTAGGAGCAACAGCAGCTCAGCTATGAAGCAGTAAACCATGCAAACACATGAAACGCATAAAATTCCCTATCACGCATCACCCACAACAGAATTGCAAACTACCCCTGGAAGAAACATCAGCACACGAGCTGTGCATTAGAGCTTCATGAAATGGGTTTCCATGGCTGAGCATCTGCACACAAGCCTAAGATCACTACGTAGAATGCTAAGCATCGGCTGAAGTGGTGTAAAGCAGCCTGACGCTGGACTGTGGAGCAGTGGAAACGTGTTCTGTGGAGTGATGAATCACACTTCACTATTTAGCCCTAGCAGAGCCCTGACCTAAACCTCACTGAACACCTTCGGAATTAATTGGAACATTGGTTGTGAGCCAGGCCTTCTCATCCAACATCAGTGCTTGGCCGCTCAAAAGTTATTTCGACTGAATGGGGACAAATTTCCACAGAAACACTCCAAAATCTTGTGGAAAGGTTTCTTATAAGAGTAAAGGCTGTTAAAGCCATCAAGAGGAGGACAACTCCATATTAATGCCCATACTTTTCAAATGGAACATCTAAACTCAATCTCATTTAATTGTGATGGCCAGGTGTCCACATACTTTTGGCCATATAGTGTATGTTTTCTACATTTTTGCTGGTGCAGAAACATTAAATACGTTTGGACTTAATAGCCATTTTGGCTGGAAATTAAATGGATAGTCTTTGACTGTTGTCTTGTTATCAACTGTGAGGCAATAAGCATGCTTGTTACAAAATCTAGGCTTATCTAGACTGGCTGTCTAAATTACATTCTGTGTGCATGTTGTGAACATCAGCACTTCTTGATTAGTACTCTGTCCATGCTGGTCAGTACACACTTCCAGCACCTCATGCTAATTTCTGGTTTAAGCCACTTTCAATTTGTATTTAACAGAAGGCATCCAAAAGTAATGTTCAGGAAAAGTCAAGGCAGCAATGTTGATATCTGTATCTAATAATGTTGAAAGATGCCTAGCCTTACCAACTGCAAATGATTTCAGTACATCTAACATTAGCTTACCTTACCCCCATGACAGAGCAGTCCTTTGTTCAGCTGTTTAGATCATACGTTACACCTCAATACGATGCATTAAGGGAAATTGGTTAATGCCATGTGGCCATCAAAGGTCGTACAAGGGACAAACGCTAAGCAGATTTTTAGTAGCACTTCACTTCAGCTAGGATAGCCTCAGTAAGCTAATCAGCTGCCTATGCAAACTTTGTAATTTAAGAATTTTTTTGAGAATTTTGAAGAATTGACTTGTCTGGTTTTGGTGGGGTGCACTGCCCTTCTTTTTGTTTGCTTTAGTTTGCTAACTAGCAAATTAAACACATAAACAAATTTGAGATGATATAAGGGGAAATGGTGAGAGCAAGTTTGACAAAGGCTGGTTAAAAACAGTATTGAAATAGAAGGTGGAAGTTGCTGTAGAGGATAGGCTCAAAGATTCCATTGTTAGCAACAAATTTTTTGGTAACAAAAAAATGTAAAAAATATGACAAAACATTTAAATGCTGCTTATTACTAAACAGATTCTTCTTCTTCACTGAAATGTTCAGTCAAAGTATGTTTTAACAAGGGAATCTATGTAATAGCATCATGTACATAAACATATTTTTGTACTGAACATATCACATCAGAATATGTATGTTGATGTACCAGCATTATGGACACCATTCTTATTTTTCTGTTGTCCTGGAAACATAGCACTGTTTCCCAGAAATTTTAATGAGAAAATACAGGGCTGAGAACATAGAGGTGGGTGTTATCAAACTGAGTTAAATTAGCTACCTAACCAAACAGTGACAGTCTGTCCTGACTCCACTTGTTTGCCCTGACTCCATTCATGCTATTAATGTTTATTTTATTATTTGTTTTTATGTTTTATTGCTTAGTCGCTTTTTTGTGTGCTGTTTTCCTGCCAAAATTTACTTGGAAAGTAACCTGGCTTTTTTTAATCTAGTTGTACCCTGGTTGAACAAAGATCAATGAGATACATAGTCAGTGAGTAGAAACTAGTGATATCCCTTTTTGGCCCAGAATTTTGAGCCAGAATACAGTAAAATCGATCACATTTGGGTCATTATCATCTGTTTGAATTCATCAGTCTCTTCATTTTGTTTTTTTCCCCTCTACAGTTACCTGAATGATTTGGACAGGATATCCCAGGCTACTTATATCCCCACCCAGCAGGATGTGCTGAGGACACGTGTTAAAACCACCGGCATCGTGGAGACTCACTTCACCTTTAAGGACCTGCACTTCAAGTGAGCATTAACAGCTTAGAGGCCTGGAGTTTTATCCAGTGTGAGCTACAGTGAGAGAGAGAGTGATTCTTTCAGCAAAAAATATTCTTTGACTCTATATTTGAAGGCTACATATATAAGAAATTAATAACACATGCATAAGCACTGAATAATGTGTTTGAAAAGCTTATGGAAGTAATCACCAGATGACATAAGATGTTTTCTTATGTAAATGAAATTGCATTGACCTAAGGGCCCTTAAACTAGTGATAGACATTCTTTACATTTATAACACTGTCATGATGCATAATAATAGCATTATTCCCAAATTATAGAACTTAGAAGGCTGTCTAGGTAAGAACAGCACACATTGTATCAGTTATGTGATCATTTCCACAAATATTTTCCTGTTGTTTAAGCATGTCGTCCATAGAACCAATGCTGCGTTTGGTGTGTGTATCTAGGCCTCTGCCTTATAAGATCTTCATAACAGTGCCATAAATGGAAAAAATGTCAGTCACTTTAGTTTAAGGGCCCTTAAATCAAAATAATCTTATTTCTTGCGAATATTGGCTTAAGCTGCTCATACATACTTGAGTGTGGGTTTTTAAAGTATGTTATTTAATGCTTATGCATGTGTTATGAAGTAGGTGTCTCTCAAATAAGTGTTACAGAAATATTATTAGTAGTAAGTAGCGGTGTTGTTTATTGTTTATTATTATATTATTAAGTCACTTCCAATTGCAGTTCAGTGTTTTTACAGACTCTAAAATATTTAGTGTGTTGTTCTATTATTCTTTAATACTGCTAAAGTTTACAGTCCAAGCTTTTGGCAATACATTCAAAGTACTGTTTAGAACACAAACTTGAAGATCTAATCTGACATTTACAGTTTCCGATCTACAGTGTTTAAAGTGGCTTTGGGGTTTCAGCATTTCCTCCTGATGATATAGACAGGAAGAGGAAGTTGTTTCAGTGTCCATATTTGGTTGTTAGCTCCAGATTCTGAACACACTGCTCTTGAATTTCAGTTTCTGAGAGACGATTATGAGAGCACTACAGAAAAATTATGACATTGTAGATAAAAAAGGAAATGTTAAATTGATTACTCTTCCTGGCCACTTCTTTTAGCTCCACCTTGCTGCTGCACAGTTAGAGACTGTAACCCGTCTGTTGGTAAACTTGTTTATAATAACAATCCAGTGGTTTACTGATGTGTTTAACAACCCAACAGCACCATTGTGTCTGATTATCACTCTCACTGTCACTCTTAACAGCACCACACACACTACCATGACCACTACCATGTCAGTGTCAATGCTGAGTTGAGAATGACCCACCACCCAAATAATATCTGGACAACAGCAGCCCTGTGGTCAGAAACTGACTAACGATGAATGGGGTAGAAGGGGGCTGATAAGCTGTGCACCAACAGATGAGCTACAGTCTCAATAATAATATATTGGACCTATAAGGTAGATGTTTCTAATAAAGTGGCCGGTGAGTTGAAGCAAAATGTAGGTGTTTCTAATAAAGTAGAGGGTGAGTGTAGTTATCATTTTAAACTGAACAAATAGTCTGATGTTTGTGATTCATTTTGTTGTGGTTTGTATGTTGAGTGAATAGCAAATTTTCAAATGTCTTACAAACACATACAAACAAACAGTTAACCCCTTACTTATTACACACGTCTATAACCTAAGAATAGCTCCATTAGTTTGCATCAAAGTCCCTGTAACTACTGAATAATAAGCCTGGATTGGTAAGGGGTTAATTAATAGTGATAATATTTGATAGCAATTGATCATAATTTCTAGTAGTTACTAAAATAAGCCTTAAGACTAATAACAGAACAATACAGTTTAAGGGGTTGATGTTACAGTGATCTTTCTACAGGATGTTCGATGTTGGAGGTCAAAGATCAGAGAGGAAGAAGTGGATCCACTGTTTTGAGGGTGTGACAGCCATCATCTTCTGCGTGGCTCTGAGTGACTATGACCTGGTGCTGGCTGAAGATGAGGAGATGGTAAGAGCCTGTGGCTCCCAAATTCAGTCCTGGGCAGCCACTGCCATAGTTTCAGGTATTTTCTAACCCCAACACATTTGATCCAGCTCATGAAGAGCTTGATATGAGCTGGAGAACGTGTGTTAGGTCAGGTGATAGACTAAGCTGTGCAGGGTAGTGGCGATGAAAAAAAAACTGGTACAGGCGACTCTTTGTCCTTGGGTGTAATCTGGAAGGGTGATGAGTGGGACCTGTCCCCCCCTCTTGTATAGGAAAGCAGTGATGCCATCCCCAAACCCAATATAAGACTCGAAGTAATAAAAGAAATCAGAACACACATTCATTGAGACACGTCACAGACCTTCTGAAAACAATTTTAGAGCAGCAAGTAATGGTTGTTATTACTATTGCTAGAGTTGTCACCTTGTAAAGAGTTTGCTATGGTAATGCTCGCTCTCTATGTATCTAATGCTAACGTTATTAGCATGTATGCTTGCATTGTTTCATTTCCACCACCCCAAATTTCTAAATGTGCAGAAAGGCAAAGCAAAACCCCCATATAACAGCAAAGGACCTGCAGAAAGCTTTAGCTGATGCAGGAGTGGTGTTGCCCCATTCTACTATGCAGCATTGTTTGCACAAACATGATCTGCATGAAAGAGTTATCAGAAGGAAATTATATGTGTTTCCTCATCACAAAAGTTGATGACTTAAATATGTAATAAACATCTAGATAAGCCAGGAGCTTGAAGTAAAAATTGAATTTTTGGCCACAATCACCAAAGGTATGTTTGGAGAAGAAAGAAAGCAGCATTTGATGAAAAGAAACCTTGCCAGCTGTTAAGCAGTGGGGTGGATGTTTTATGCTTTAGGGCCATGTTGGTGCCAGTGGCACAGGAAACATTGCATTGGTAGATGGAAGAATGAATTCCACTGAATATCAGCAAATTCTGAGAGCAAATGAGACAGTCAGGAAAGTGAAGATGAAAAGAGGCTGGCCTCTACAACAGGACGATGATCCACAACATACCTCAAAATCCAAAACGTCAAGAAACACAAGCCAAAGCTTTTGGAATGGCCTTCATAATCCTTTAACTTGAACATCATTTAAAGTCTGTGGGTAGATCCTGAACATGCTGTGCATGCAAGATGGACCAATAATACAACAGAAGTAGAATCGTACTAAATTCCTAACAAAAAAGGTCCTAAATTCCTAGAAGAAAATTTCTAAAACAAGAACAGAAACTCTTATAGCTGGCTTCAAAAACATTTGCAAGCTGTGGGGCTGTTATTGACTAAAAACTGACTTAGAATGGTGTCCAATATATTATATTATATATGTATTGTATATAATGTATTATATTACTTTATCATTATTATTTTTTCTAGAATGTTGCCAAGTGATCTGTTTCAGCCAACTCAATATATAACTTTCTCTCTCTCTCTCTCTCTCTCTCTCTCTCCATAGAACCGGATGCATGAGAGTATGAAACTGTTTGACAGCATCTGCAACAACAAGTGGTTCACAGACACCTCCATCATTCTGTTTCTGAACAAGAAGGATCTGTTTGAGGAGAAAATTAAGAAGAGTCCGCTCACCATCTGCTACCCAGAATACGCTGGTAACAACACTTTCTTTCACTACATCAGATCCATTGCAAAAAAATGATTGGCAAGTGAAATCATCTTAGATCTGGTCAGTATGTCTTATATTCTCATCCTGACATTGTTGTAAGGATGTTATAAGAATATTTAACTTTTAAATTTCTAGACATTTTTACTTGTTTTGAGTCATAGTCAGTTCTAGTGTCTTATGTGTCTTAGCGTGTACTGTGTTATTGCACCAGCAGATAACTTTTTTTGTTTTATGGCATGACACTACAGGCAAAACTTATGATTTTGGTTCCATTTGTTCAGTTTTATGGATAAAAGTCATCAATAACATGTCTTGTAATCATTGTTGTTTGTTATAAAATGTTTGTTACTTATGCAGAAATATGTATTGTCCAAAAAATCAACTGTAATGAAGACTTAGCCATGCCACACTTGACTCAACCACTTCTTGTCATACAGTGCTGTGTAAAAGTATTTGCCTCTCACCTGGTGTCTTCTATTTTTGCTAATTTGTCACATAGAAATGTTTCAGATCATCCAAATAATTTTAATATAAGATAACAACAACACAAGTAAACACAACATGCAGCTTTTAAATGATGATTCCATTTACTGAAGCTAAAGATTTATTCAAAACTTATATCACCCATGTGAAAAAGTAATTTTGGTCCACGCTTCTTGGCAGAATTGTTTTAATTCAGCTACATTGGAGGGTTTTCAAGCTTAGACTGCCCATTTAAGGTCTCACCACAGCATCTCAGTGGGATTCAAGTCAGGACTTTGACTCGGCCACTCCAAAACGTTAATATTGTTTCTTTTAAGCCCTTCAGAGGTGGACTTGCTTTGAATCATTGTCCTGCTGCATAACCCAACTTGAGCTTTAGGTCGCAAACTGATGGATGAGGAATCTCCTTCAGGATTGTCTGATAGAGAGCAGAATTCATGGTTCCAGCAGTTGTGAGAAGTCGTCCAAGATCTGCAGAAGCAAAGCAGCCCCAGACCATCACACTACCACCACGTTTGACTGTTGGTATGATGTTTTTATGGTGAAATGCGGTGTTAGTCCTCCAAAAAGTTCCACCTTTGACTCAGTCCACAGAATATTATCCCAAAAGTCTTGAGGGTCATCTAGATGTTTTTTGGCAAATGCAAGATGAGCCTTTGTTTTCTTTTTGGTCAGCAGTGGTTTGCGTCTTGCAACTGTATGATGAATGCCATTTTTTCCCAGTGTCTTTCTTATTGTGGAATCCTGTACATTAACCTTAACTGAGGTAAGTGAAGCCTGCAGTTCTTAAGATATTCGCCTGGGTTCTATTGTGCCCTCCCCGATGAGTCGTTGATGCGCTCTTGGTTAAATTTTGGTAGGCCGGCCACTCCTGGGAAAGTTCACCACTGATCCACGTTTTCTCCATTTGTGGATAATGGCTCTCACTGTGGGTCACTGGAGACCCAGAGCCTTTGTAACTCTTTCCAGACTGGTAGATTTCAGTGACTTTGTTTCACATCTGTATTTGAATCTCTTTAGAATGTGGCATCATCTTCTAGTCTGCTTCACATTGCAAGACAGGTTCTATTTAAGTGATGTTTAGATTCAACAGGTCTGGCAGTAATTATGTCTGGGGTGTGGCTATTGAAAATTAACCCAACAGTCAATTGAATTTGGTTAACTGGTTGATTTAGTAGCTAAGGGGGCATTTACTTTTTCACATAGGGCCAGGTAGGGTTGAACAGCATTTTTCCTTTAATAAATGAAATCATCATTTAAAAATAGCATTTCTTGTTTACCTGGATTATCGTTCTCTAATATTAAAAGTAGTTTGATGATCTGAAACATTCAAGTGTGACAAATATAGAAGAAAAAATAGAAGAAATTGGGAAGGTTCTTTTTTCATGGCACTGTATATCACTGAAAAGCTTGTTTCCCAGAGATTCTAATTAGGATATTCAAATATGCCTGTTTCCCTTTCACTAACAACAGCATTCAAAGAAATAGTGCATGTTTTTGATATCTCACTTGGTAATGCAGTTTGGAAATATTTTTTTCTCAAAATCAGCTTTTCTTTACATTCAGAGCTAAAAATTCCAGCTTCTACAATGCCTGCATTCTTGAACTATAAACATATTCTGAAGGTTATTACAAAATATTTCCTAATTTACTGCTAATAACTAGACTTATGCTAATACATAAATTATATTCTACAAAGCAAAACAAGATTTTTCTCTGCTGCATTCCATAAAGCTGAAAAAAAGTTGATTTCTGCTGTCCTATTAACTCTTTTCTGTTAGTGACACAGTTAATGCTGTTGTGTTTATTTGAAGTGTAAAGAATGTGATTTAAGAAAAAAAACAGTCAATTTTTTATTTAGGCTGTTTCACAAACTACCTTTCTGAACAAGAAAAAACATTAAGAGGGCAATAAATCACACAAGTAATGCCTTCATGTTACTCTGATGAAACAAAACAAGCTTTTACCTGTCTGAACTGGGCTCTGAAAGAGCTTCACTGGAAAAAATACCGTTCATCCAACAGAAAGGAGACTTTGTGTATCTTTTATACAGTGAGAGAGAACATAGTATCACACAGGAAGGTCATGTTCTACACACTGAAACTGATCATTACATTGTTACAAACAGGGACATGACTGATTTGTCCCTGGCAGCAGGTTTAAACTGTACCAGACTCATGAAGTTCACTAAACTTGAATTTTGCTTGCACTTTTGTCCATTTTTGTTAATACCAGTAGCAGTCAATAGTGTAATTTGTGTAAATTAGGTTTTTGGCTTTTATTGCCTTTATTACAAAGCTAAATTCTGCATAAATAAATTAATAGATATTGACCCACTATGTCTTTAGCTCATTTTAAGTGGTAAAATGACTTTGTGCCCGACAGGCTCCAATACATATGAAGAGGCGGCTGCGTATATCCAGTGTCAGTTTGAGGACCTGAACAAGCGTAAAGACACGAAAGAGATTTACACACACTTCACCTGCGCCACCGACACCAAAAACGTACAGTTCGTCTTCGATGCTGTCACTGATGTCATCATCAAAAACAACCTGAAAGACTGCGGACTCTTCTAGACACTCTTTGGAGTCTGGTGAGACGGTGTGTGTGAGAAAGTGTGGATATGTGTGTCTGTGTGAATCACAACAATTTGATTATGAATCTTTAGGAGACAATTCAACGAACCATGAAAAACTGTGACCAAAATGGATCTCCACTGTCTCATTAGTGTTCTGCTATAGAGGGGGGAACTATATAGTTTACTAAATAGCTGTAAAAATGGTATAAACCTTGATTAGACTACACCTTTATTTCATGGTCCATGACTACAGTAATCTACAGTTACTGTTTCGTGTTTTTTGACACAGCTTCAAATAATAAAGCCTTTCTTCATAGATAAACCTTCAGTCTGAAAGACAAAACGAATGTAGTTCTTAAATGAAGTGCTTGAAGACGGAAAGCAACATGAAATGTTTGGCTAACATAGTTTGGATAGCAAGTATGCTAGCTAGCTAGTTCACTAGCTGTTGTAGCTGAAGATTATTATAGATCACATTTCTTTACAACTGGCTACAACATTATTTGAAGCCAGGTCAAAACCTGCCAGGTTTTTAATAGTGGGATGCTTTTGGGAAGTGTTTTCCTCTAAAGAGACAAAACTAAGCCACAGTGACGTGAAACTCGACTCGACTCGAAACTCCACTCAGACTCTGACCCCAGTGTCCCAGTGCCTAGAGGCTCGACACACACTTCGGAGACTCAACTTGGACTCCAAAGACTCAAGACTAGACTCAAGCCTCCGCTTGCACCTTAACGACACGAGACTCGACTTGAGACTCCACTCAAACATGCACCTCAGAAACCCGAGACTCTGCTTGGACTTGGACACTAGAGACTTGAAACTCAACTCAGACTCAAAACTCCACTTGCACCTTAAAGACACCAGACTCGAGACTCCACTTGGACTTGCACCTCAGAGGCTGGAGTCTCCGCTTGAAATTTGACCTCAGAGACTTAAGACTCCGCTTGGACATGGACACCAGAGACTTGAGACTCAACTCAGACTCGTACCTTAGATACTCGAGACTCTACTCAAACTCACACATCAGAGACTCCATTCAGAGTCAGACCTCAGAAACCTGAGAGTCCTTTTAGGCTTGCGCCTCAAAAACTTAAGACTTCACTTGATATCACACATCAAAGACTTAAGACTTGACCAGATTCATACCTCAGAGACTCAAGACTCCACTCTGACTCAAGTAGACTTGAGACTGCACCTGAACTTGCACATCAGAGACTGCCGAATCCCACTCGGATCCCAGACACTTGAGACTCCACTCGAAATCACTCGTCAGAGACTCAAGACTTGACTCAGACTCACACCTCGGAGACTCGAGACTCAACTCTGACTCAAACCCCAGGGACGCAAGACTGTACCTGGACACGCACATCAGAGACTCGAGGCTCCACTCTGACCCCAGTGTCCCAGTGCCTAGAGGCTCGACACACACTTCAGAGACTCAACTTGGACTCCAAAGACTCAAGACTAGACTCAAGCCTCCGCTTGCACCTTAACAACACGAGACTCGACTTGAGACTCCACTCAGACTTGCACCTTAGAAACCTGAGACTCTGCTTGGACTTGGACACTAGAGACTTGAAACTCAACTCAGACTCAAAACTCCACTTGCACCTTAAAGACACCAGACTCGAGACTCCACTCGGACTTGCACCTCAGAGGCTGGAGTCTCCACTTGAACTTTGACCTCAGAGACTCAAGACTCCACTTGGACGTAGACACCAGAGACTTGAGACTCAACTCAGACTCGTACCTTAGATACTCGAGACTCTACTCAAACTCACACATCAGAGACTCCATTCAGAGTCAGACCTTAGAAACCTGAGAGTCCTCTTAGGCTTGTGCCTCAAAAACTCAAGACTTTACTTGATATCACACATCAAAGACTTAAGACTTGACCAGATTCATACCTCAGAGACTCAAGACTCCACTCTGACTCGAGTAGACTTGAGGCTGCACCTGAACTTGCACATCAGAGACTCCCACTCGGATCCCAGACACTTGAGACTCCACTCGAAATCACTCGTCAGAGACTCAAGACTTGACTCAGACTCACACCTCAGAGACTCGAGACTCAACTCTGACTCAAACCCCAGGGATGCAAGACTGTACCTGGACACCCCTCAGAGACTCGAGGCTCCACTCTGACCGCAGAGACTCAAGATTCCACTCGGACTCACATTTCAACTACTCAAGATTCCACACAGAATCGCACGTCAGAGCCTCGAGACTTAACTCGGTCTTGCACCTCAAAGACACGAGACTTGACTCGTCTCCACTTGGACTCACATTCTGACTTGTACCTCAGAGACTCCAGACTCCACTCGTACTTGCACCTCAGAAACTTGAGACTCGACTCTCGGTCAGACTCTATGAGGAAAATGGACAGCGTACCTAATACTGCTAAAATGAAAATAAGGATCCATTTGGGTCGCATCATATACGCTTATTCCTTAGTGAGTAGCAATCAATGCTAGTAATCTAAGTGTGTGTATATATGTGTGCAAGCTTTAGCTCAGATAAATTATATAGCAAAAATGGATGTTATTTTATTTTTGTTTTCATCTATTTACCACTTTAGATTTCCACCCACGTTAAATAAAAAAGTCACATTGCATTTGCTGTACAGTAGCTATGAGTGTGTGTGTATGTGTGTATTTGTTTTGTGTGTGTGTGTGTGTGTGTGTGTGTGTGTGTGTGTAAGAGAGAAGCATGCGCTGCATTGTTATTTAAATGAAGACATGTTGTTCAGATGTAAGTGGGATTAGTGAGAGTAGTTGAGCACCGTTCTGTTTTCCCTCTGAGAGCTGAACTGAATATCAATGAGGCCGTAATGAACTCTCTTCTTCTCTCATTTCTCTTATCTTTTTGTCTCCTGAATTCTTTTTTTCTCTTCTGTTATCTTGTTTTTTTCTCCATCCCTTTTTCTTCTCATTTTTTCACTCTGTTCTCTTCTCTTTTAAAATTTATCGTCTTTTCACTTCTTTTTCTTCATTTTCTCCTTATTTTCTCTTGTACTTTCTTCATTTCTGTTATCTTCTTTCCTCATTTCCCTTTCTGTTTTCTTAATTCCTCCTCGTCTCTTCTCTTCTCTTCTCTTCTCTTCTCTCATTTTCTTTTCTCAACCTCTTTCCTTTTCTTGAAACCTGTACATACAGATTGTGAGTCAAATGTGAATGAAATTCATTATTCAAATGTGTAATTGATTATTACTTTATGTGAAGTATAACCTAATTACATGTAAAAAGAATAGCAAAAGACATAGATAATTTGTATCACTGATAAAATGTATATCTCCATTTTTGTAATTTGTAATTTTCTGACATAATTTCAAATCGCTGTCTCCCCTTACAGTGTTTCAGAATTTCATGATGAATGGACCAATAGAAGTGCTGCAAAATTCCATTCCATTGAAAGTTGGAATATATGTATAATACCCTCTCTCTCTCTCTCTCTCTCTCTCTCTCTCTCTCTCTCTCTCTCTCTCTCTCTCTCTGTGTAGGTGCAGAATTTGTCCATTTTGATGTGTATTAACGTTGGACTACGGTTCTGAACTTGTGTTTGGAGAGCAATTCTCCTGGACCAGTGCTGTACATTGGGTCTCGTTTGTCCACTTTATTTATGCTTCTGTCTCGGGACATTTTAAACAGTAGCACCTTTAAAAAAAAAGAAAAAAAAAGAAAATCATCAGATGTTTGTACAACTGTTGCTGTCGCAGCCATGTTATGTTTTTCACCACAATTTTTTTTTTTTTTTGGACCAAAGGACCTGCATTTAATCCTACTTTCCTTTTTTGAACAAGGTTCACTTTTGCTGGAAATGTTTTTGTCCCCTGTCCTGGTGGATATTAAGAAAGGAGAGGAGGGTGTTTTTAATCTGTGCAGTTTGTTGGGTTTTGTGCCTTGGCATGTGTTTCTGCAGTGTTTGTCTCATGCTTGAATTTTTGCTTGCTGAATATCTACCAATGTCCCACATGTAAAAAATCCCACTGCGTACTACAACGCAAATCCTTCTCTACATAAAAGTGTGTATGAGCATATATAAGTGTGAATGACTGTATATGAGTGTATAAGAGCGTGTATGAGTACACGACTAGTTAAAAGTTTGAACACACCTATGTATGATTGTATGATTTTCAGTTTTTCTAAAGACATTTTAATCTACAGGCTTATGCTTAAAAGTCTTTAAGTCATTAAGATAAATATTCAAATTGATTTCTATGTATGATTTTTTAAAATCATTTTAAACAATATTTTTATAGTTTTCGTTCATTACTCAGGTGACATTTAGAGTTGGAAAATAGAGTTGGAGCCACAATGATTATATCATCCTAATTACTGTGTGTTTCCTGTTAAAAGTTAATGAGTGGAAAGTTTGTTCTCATCAACGCATTTCAGCCAATCATTGGTATCGTAACGACAAAGGGTGGGGTCTACATAACCCTGTTTGTTAGATGGACAATATTTCTGCCTGAACTTGTTCAATAGGAACTATTTCATAACTATTTCTCATTTTTATGTCTTCAATATTTTTCTAAAATGCAAAAAATAATTAAAAAGAAAGAGAAACCAGTTTTATGAGTAGGTATATCCAAACTTTTGACTGGTGGTGTGTATATGAGTGTGTATGAGTGTGTGTATGTCTATCAGATAGGGCTGGCCTATAATTTGACTACTCAAGTACTCATTTGTCATTGTTGGTATTCGGTTCTTTATTTGGTATCTGGAAGCTTCTTCTTTTTTTTAAAAAAAAATAGAAGTTATTTTTATTATATGAAAAATATATTAATTACAGCCTGTTTAAGTTGAATGCATTATAAATATATGTCAGTTATCCACATCACTTTGCCTCAGCACAACAAACTGCACCACCTTCCACATAGCTGCTGAAGCTATAAGAGCAAAGATGCCTCAGAAATCGCACCTGTGGGATAAGAATAATTATATAAGAAAAATGCTCAGTGCTAGATTTGTGATAAGAGGCTGGTGCACCAGGGAGGCAAAGCAAGTTAGCGATACTTATCCAAGTACTGTGCTGACACCACAGCTGAGTTTAGTACTATCAAATTTCATATGATTGCAAGAGCCGCATCCAGGGTGGTTCTCCTCACATTCAGACCAGCTTGTAGCTCCGAAGTGCCCTCAGTCCTCCGCTCCGCTCTCTGAAGCTCAGCTATGACTGAGCTAAACTAGGCCTGTGTATTGCCTTTATAGCTGCTTTCCATGACAAAGAACGGCAAACTATCCACTTGATAGGATATGATAATAGTAATAATGAACTAAAACAAAACTAAAACCATGATGGTAATAAATGAAATGATTATTCTAATTTATTACACCCTTAGCATCTAGATACGTGACTCATAAACGCCAGAGTCATTGAAGCTGTCTTTGAACGAGAGGGCTACAATCGTAGATTCTATCCTAGGAACATACAGCAGACTATTAAAACATCATTGACATCTACTGAATATATTCTGAACAGCAGTAATGAAGATATTCTAAATTATGTTTAATAGTGAAACGTAAATGTTATTGTTTTTAAGGGGGATTTTGAGTTTTGGAATACTCGATCAGAAATACCTACGAGTATTTGAAGCCTGTAAAATGCTGTTTGGACCGGCCCTTATATAAGAGCTTTAGGAGAGGGTGTATGACTGTACGAGAGTGTGTATGACTGTATGTGAGTGTGTAGACTTATCTGTGAGTGTATGACTGCATGTGTGTGTATTACTGTGTGTATGAGTGCAAATGACTGTATGTGTGTCTATATGACTGAATGTGTGTATGAAATTGTGTATGACTGTAGTTGAATGTATATGTGTGTATGACTATGCAAGTGTGCATGACTGTGTGTAAGTCAATACGACTGTGTGTGAGTGTATAAAAGTGTATAACTAAATGTGTTTGTATGTGAGTGTGTTTGACTGTGAGTGTGTATGACTGTGCGAGTGTGTTTGTGTGTTTGACTGTGTGTATAACTGTGAGTACAAATGGCTGTATATGTGTGTATGACTATGTAAGTGTATATAATTGAGTGTTTGACTGTATGTGAGTGTGTATGACTGTATGTGTGTATAACTGTGAGTGTATATGACTGTGTGTTTGATTGTATGTGCATGTATAACTGTATGTGAGTGTGTATGACTGTAAGTGTATATGATGGTGCAAAGAAAAGACTGGATAGAGTGGATTTGTGTGTGTGTGTATGTGAAAATATATGAAGTGTATATTCTTGTGTGTGTGTCTCATGTTGGAAACTGAGAGATGGTCCCAAGCTCCATGTCTCCATGGCAACAAAACGAGAAAAAGGAGAGCCCATGGTGCTTCAGAAGGAGTGTGTTACTGACAGACGCTGAGAGATTTGAGGAGTGTGTGTGTGTGTGTGTGTGTGTGTGTGTGTGTGTGTGTGTGTGTATGTGTGCGTCTGTGTGCGTATGTGCACATCTCCATCCCAGTGGCCACAGCTAGCCGCCATCTCACACACTCACGCACATGCATACAGATACTGCTAAAGGACCTGCAAAGGCTTTCAAGTGAAGATGATGATAATGTTGAGGATTATAACTGCCACCACTGTCTGTGTGTTCACTCTGTGTGAAAACATTTGGAAACATTTGTACACTCATGTCCCTTATTTTGCTAATAAAAAGCATTTGCAACCACCTTGTCTTTCATGGGCCTTTATCCTGCCAGTTTTACAGCAAGCCTATAATCTAACATACATACACATATATTTAATGTATCTAATGTGTCGTACCGCACAACTTTATGGGATATGACACTGAAGTGGTGTCGTGAATGTTAATGCTTTATTTGTTAATGCTTTTTTTCAAACATTATGAAAAATTGTGTTCATTGATATATTGTTTTAAAATTCTTTTTTATGAATACATTTGACATGAATTACAGGCTAATGTGTAGCTATACTTTTACAGATATGTAAAAGTACAGGAGATTACTGTATTGTAATTTCAGCTTTTTATTTATTATAAGCGCACAGCAGAATTCAGCTACATCAAAGTAATCTTGTGGTCCGAGTGGCTGTGAAGTCACAGTATAATGTTACTATTTTACTGTGATTTATTCTTAGTTCAGTGAATTAGTGGGAAAATTATGCAACTTGTAGCCAGTAATTTACTGTATTTTTTCTAAGTGTGGGTACACAGCATGAAGAAAGCCTAGCTGACATTTCAATCCTAAAAGTCTATAGTGTTTTTAAACCACTTTGTGCTGAAGCTTTAAGTTCGCTAATAAATTTTGATATTTAAGCTTTAGAATTTTTCCTTTTTGCCCATTTAAGATCTTAGTTTTTCTAAGTTTGCCTTGTTTTTGCTGTTTAGGTTACTTTAACCACTTTTAGTAGTTGGTAATGAGTTGATTCAGATGCCTTGAAGCAGGAAAACACTACAATGATCAGGGCGGGAGGACTGCTAGAGCCGAATTGGGAAACACTGGCACAAACTGAAGGACTGGAACTGTGTGAATAGGAAGTTCCTAAAGCTGATCAGCTTATTCTCACATGGCTTGCTAATGGACAGAGGCTTAGCACTCTTGCTAACAATGGAGTTATGAATAGACTGAGGAAATTGGCCAGAACAGGACGACTATATTTAGAGACAAGGGCCCTTATTCATCAAGGCTGCGTGGTCAAATCTGCCAACGGTTTCACTGACAGTGAGGCGTGACTGTACAATCAAACTCATGTCTGGTATGAGAACGTATATTTTTAGGGTAGTGCTTTACCAAACTGGAAAATGCTTGATTTGTGGTCAGATTGTGGTAATTGTGTGCACAACAGTCTTTGTTCTGCTTTAATATTTGCAAAACACCAAGCATAAACAAGAGACGGTATAATACCATTCATATCAGCTGGTTATGTGAATATGACTGTGTGTGTGTGTGTGTGTGTGTGTGTGTGTGTGTGTGTGTGTGTGTGTGTGTGTGTGTGTTGGATAAGTGAAGAAACATGTCTGGCACATTTGATGTTTTTTATAATAAATAGCTAAGAGTGTTAAATGCAAACAACACATACAGCAGTGCCACAACACTGATAACACTGAAGCCCCCCTCCACCCCCACAACACACAGTGATGACACACCAATAAAAGCGCTATTGTTCTGTGTCTCTGGATCTAACAAACAAACAAAGTCCAGTCTCATCTTCTCCAAAGGGTTTGTATCATTTCTTTATTTTCTCTCTATCATCTTTCCATTAATTTCTAAAAATACTGCTTGTATCTTCAAGACGTCCTTCATTTTTCCTCTTTTCCACGCAGCAAATTCCTACATCCTTATGCACATAAACACAGACTGTCCACCTACGAGAGAGAGAGAGAGAGAGAGAGAGAGAGAGAGAGAGAGAGAGAGGAGAGGAAGTGAGAAAGAAGAGAGTAAGAAAGGAAAGAGAAAAGGAGAGAAGGAAAAAGGGAGAAATAAGATAATGAGAGAAGGAGAGAAAGAAAAAAGAAGGAGAGAAAGAAAATGAAAGTGGGGGAGAGAGAGAACAAAGGGGAAGAGAGAAAGATACAGAAAGAGGTAGAGAGACAAAAACAGACAGTGAGAGATAGGAAGAGAGAAACAGAAGAAAGAAAAGAGAAAGAGGTAGAAAGAGAAAGAAAAGAAAGGAAGGGAGGCAGTGAGAAAAAAGGCAGAGACAAGAAAAAGAAGAGAGAGAAAAGACAGGAAAAACAAACAAAAAGATAGTGAGAGAAAGAGAGACGGAAAGAAAGAAAAGGAGACAGAGGGACAGACAGACAGAGACAGAGAAGAAAGAGAAAAGAGAGAGAGGTAGAAAGAGAAAGAGGAAGGGAGACTGTAAGAACAACAGAAGAAACACACAGAGAGAGAGAGAGAGAGAGGAGAGAGAGAGAGAGCATTTCCTATTAGAAATACAGTGGAGGTGACAAGCCAACTGTTTTAAAGGCCAAATCTGCAGTTAGGTTTAGTGACCTGAACACTGCTTGACTCACGGTATGAGTCTAATTTGTCTTGGAGCATTTTAATTATATCACATTTAACCTCTGCTTCTGTCTGCTGTGATGGAGCTCTTCACTTAAAGAGCTAGTGACTCTCATAAATAACAACCGGTGGGCAACTAATAACATACTGGCCTTAAGTGAAATATCACAGTTCTGTTTCCTGCTTTCACGCTGCTCATCATCAAAAAGCTGAAATACGAGTTAGTTGTATTCATTTAATTGATATTTCAGTGAAAATGTGAATTTACAGAGCCCCCTTGCCCCCACCCCCTTTTACCTTGAATGTAGTCGGTCAGCCAGTGTTTGATGTTTGGTGTCTGCTTCTTCAGTTTGGCACTAGAGTGATGGGTGATGAAACAAAAACGGACATGCTTCTACATTAACACGAGGTGTTTGTTGACTGTAAATCTGTTGTGGGCTGCTGTAGTGTCTCTAAATGTGATGCAGAGGGGTTTACTGTGCTCTTTAACCAAATGTGGAGGACAACACGCATTAGCCTTTCCATTTGTTCCCCACTGACTCAGTTAACTGTAATCAGTATTGATCCGCTCAATCAATGGCACTTTGGACTATTGAGACAATAATGCTTCCACTGTCACTGACTAATGCACCCATAAATATATACTGTTAGTGTTGCAGTGGATGTATCTATATAAACATCTATATGATTATTTACCATCATATGCACAAATTTGGGCACCCTTTGTCAAATTACATGTTTTGTTGATTTTCTAAGTGAAAATTTAAGTTGACACATCCTCTACAGAGAACACACTTCTGCTCATTTTAATGCACAATTAACATATTGCCGGGAAAAATTAAAACATAAAATGTGGCCTGTGCAAATGTCATGGCACATTTTATATTGTATGTTTATTTTTTTCCCTCATATGTTAATCTCAGCATATAAATAGAAATTGCACACTAAAATGTATAGAATAGCGCCAGTATGTTCTCTGTAGAGGGTGTGTTAACTTATTTTCATGTGGAGAATCAACAAAACATGTAATTTGACTAGAGGTGTTCAAAGTTTTGAATACAGCTGTATCTATAGATACATCTATATAAACATATTTTCAAATGTTATGATAATATAGATTAATAAACATGTAGATGAACAAACAATAATATAGAGGTACAGATGCCCCATCTTTCTCTCTCTCTTTCTCTTTTCTTTTGCCCTCCCTTCTCCTCCACAATTTTTTCCTTTCTTTCTTTGTTTCTTCCTTCTTCTTTCTTTAACTCTCTCTTATCTTTATGTCTCTCTTTCTTCCTTATGGTGCCTCTCTCTCTCTCTCTCTCTCTCTCTCTCTCTCTCTCTTTCTCTCTCTCTAGAATCCCCTTGCTTTCATCTCCACATGCTGCTCTGTGATGTCATCAGCTCCGGATGCCATGGTAACAGAGAGAGAGGTATTCCTTTGCTCTGCAGTGGGCTGTTATTAATAGCTCCTAATGTTTGTACCTTTGGATGGTGTGTTAGCATAGCCACATTACACAGCTAATCTCTTCCTTCACATGCACACGCACACACACACACACACACACACACACACACACACACACACACACACACTCAGACCTGCGGCAGGTGAACACTCATGCTGAGCTTTTTTTAGGAAAGCGTGATGTTGAATGATGATCTTTCCTTTCTTCCAAGAAAACTGCTTTTTTCAAAATGCTTTTTTAATTTTCCTACAGCTGATACAGCCTCTCTCTCACACAGTCCATCTCTCTCTTTCTGTCTGGTACTTCTCCCACTCTCTCTCTCTCCCTATATATATATATATATATATATATATATGGTAACACTTTCTATGAATGTCACCTTTGTAAGCATCTATAAACACATTCATAACTGTTATAATGCATTTATAAGACACTATAAACATAGCTATAAATATTTATAAAAATGCATTATACATTATAGCCATGCTTATTATGCATACTTAAGGATTTACTGAAACACTAAAACATACACAATAAAGCACATTACAGGCTTCAAATGTCAGATTTTAAACTAGAGCTGCCATCAGTGTTGTACCCAATGTGGGAAGGTCAATCTACACCACCGTTAGCTTGGTATTTGTCTTTACTTTACACTCTCCAAGCTGGGACTGACTTCTTTGGCACTGACATTACAACACTATTTATAAAGCATTATATTAACAATTCATAATGTATAATAAACATGGCTATAAAGTGTAATTCAGTGTAATTCTTTTTTATAAATATTTATAACCATGTTATAAATGTTTATAGATGCTTACAAAGGTGACATCCATTGAAAGTGTTACCATATATATATATATATATATATATATATATACAAACAAAATTATTGGGACACACTTCTTGATCATTGAATTTAGGTGTTTCATTCAGTCCCACTGTAACAGGTGTATAAAATCAAGCACCTAGCCATGCAGTGAGTTCACTGAATTTGAGCCTGGTACTGTAATAGGAAGCCACCGTTGCAACAAGTTGCAAAGTTTCTTCCCCCCCTAGATATTCCACAATTAACTGTGAGAGGTATTATTGAAAAGTAGAAGCGTTTAGGAACCACAGCAACTCAACCATGAAGTGTGAGACCATGTAAAGTTACAGAGCAGGGTTGTCGAGTGCTGCATAAAAGTTGCCTGCAGAGTCCCAAACCTCCTCTGGCATTAACATCAGCACAAAATCTG